CTCGAGTCATGATCTCAGGATCATGAGATCAAGCCCCTCCATGGGCTCTGGTCTGGTCAGGGTGCCTGCTTAAAATTCTCTCTCTCCCTCTCCCTCTGGCCCCCCTACCCCCTCACACGCTCTCTCTCTAAAGTAAATAAATTAATTAATTAATTAAATTTTAAAAGTTCAATCAAAATAAAGGATGAGAGAGGTGAAAGAAAACATTCATTAAAACAATCACATACAAAAAAAAAAATCACATACAAAGCTAATTTTCCAATAGAGAAAGAGGTAACCCACAACCTATAATTTACAATTGTATTCTCTTAGAAACTAAGAATTTAAGAAAGGAACAACGTGCTACTTGGAGATGAAGCTGACTCAAAGTGAGTCAGCAACAATGAAAAACAACTGAAGGCTTTGAATACCCAGGCTTCTGATAAAATAATCATTACAGAAAAAAAAAAACTCCTTAGTTCATCTGAATTTTCATAGTATCTGGACACATCAGATTGTTTAGAGTAATTGTCACTAAAAATGACTTATGTTAAAGATGTGGGGAAAGTTGAGCTAATAATATGGCTTCCAAGGTTTAATGAATTTGTCTGATGGGAATAATATCTAATGATGCAAAAACATGGAAAAAGCCTACATGTTTCTGAAGCTATAATTGCAACTGTTTCGTATTTAATGGCATGATACATTTCCACTCCATAAAAAGTACTATATGCCACAGGTTTACCTTTTATTTTTTTTTAGGTTTACTTTTAAAATAAAGTGAAGTTACTTTTTGTTTTTTTTTTTTTTGTTTTTTTTTTAATTTTTATTTATTTATGATAGTCACACAGAGAGAGAGAGAGAGAGAGGCAGAGACACAGGCAGAGGGAGAAGCAGGCTCCATGCACCAGGAGCCTGATGTGGGATTCGATCCCGGGTCTCCAGGATCGGGCCCTGGGCCAAAGGCAGGCGCCAAACCGCTGCGCCACCCAGGGATCCCCAAGTGAAGTTACTTTTGATAATTTAGTAATACCTAAAACAAGCAATCCCAAGTTAAAAAAAAAAACAGACTCAAATTCAGGAATGATCACTCTCAACCTCACCAACACATTACATATCAAATGGCTAAAGCTGCTAGTGTTGGCTGACTGGGCATAAATGGGACTTCATTATGTTCATAGGACGGCAAGTAAGAGTTAACCTTAACTACAATGACCAGTTTTAGTTAAAATAAGTCAATTATAGCAACTAACAACAAAGAGCTGCATACTTAATTTCTGGTACTCTAATAGAATTTTTATCATAATATACACAGTCTGTTCTTCATACAGAGTAGGCTTATTTTAGGCCAATCAGATCACTTTCTTCTGACATATTAGTATAAAATTTCAGAAATGACATGAAAATGTCAGAAATGACACACTTACCTTCAGTGACACCAATTTAGATAGATCACCTATCTGGGGTATGTTATTGTCTGATAAATCAAGGTGCTGTAGAGCTGCGCAGCTACTGATTTGTTCCATGGCCTATCATAAGAAAAGCATCACACTAGTTCACGTACACAAATCAAAAAATGAAATTCTTCCTTAGTTCCTCACACCTGAGTCTCCTGCCTCCTCTGCTTATTACTGGAAGCAGAGGAGCATAGTTTAGCAAGAGAAAGAGGAAGTAATAACAACAGAATTTCGTTAAATTGTTATGTAGCAAGCCTCTACCATCATTAACCCTCTGAGAATAGAGGATCGTATCATCCCAGATATTTACAGCTTGAAAAAAACCTTAGTAATAACACAGGACAGTTGATATAGTGTATAGAGTTTACAAGTTAAGAGAGGAGTCGAACTGCATGGATTCATATCCTGGCTCTGCAACCTCCTGGCTATGTTAAGCAAGTTACTTTATTTCTCAGTACTTCAGTTTCTCATTTATGCAATAGACATAACAAGTATATCCACTTCATAGGCTGTCATGGCAGTGAATGAGTTAGTACAGTTAAGGTGCCTAGAATAGTACATAGCATAAATTAACTGATCAATAAGTGAGTGAGCTATTAATAGCACTTAATTGAGTCCCCTCATCTAACATATTAAAAAACAAGACACAAATATATTTTTTACACAAAAATATAGTTACTGGAATGCCTGGGTGGCTCAGCGGTTGCTCATCTGCCTTTGGCCCAGGGCATGATCCCGCAGTCACGGGATCGAGTCCCATGTCAGACTCCCTGCATGGAGCCTGCTTCTCCCTCTGCCTCTGTCTCTCTTATCTGTTTCTCATGAATAAATAAATAAACTCTTAAAAAAAAAAAAAGTTACTAAGGGATAGGAGAATCCAGATCTCTTGACTTTTGAAACATTATATTCTCCTCTATACTATTTAACATTTACTTACAGCGTAATTCAGCATGATATAGTAGCCCTGCTAACATTTCATTCTGTTTCACTATTTTTCTAAGTATAATACAGACAATTCTTTTCCACATCTAAAAGAATATTATACTACATTATGTATTTCAAAATAAATTTTTTCTTCTGTTTATGTTAACTGAAAGTATCCCTGGGAAGTGAGAGTAGGTACTTTTACTTTTTATTCTATTTATTTCTATACTGCTTGAATTTTTTTTTTGCAGTGAATACTTTTACAAATAAAAAAAAAATGTAAGTACTAAAAGACAAAGGAAACAATTCACCTTGAGATTATTTCCTGCCAAATTCAGCCATTCCAAATGTACTAGATCCTTCAGCCCTTCCACATAGCCAATGCTATTATGAGGCAAATTTAAAACCCGGAGTTGGGTCAGTTTGGCCACACCCATCATTCGCACCAGCCGATTATTAGCCACTGACAACTGTGGAAAGAAAACATATCATTACTCTTAGAAATAAAATATGCATATTACTTTCACATGAGGGTGGTTAAATGGCCAAACATTCCCAAATATACAAACCTGATTTGAACTTCTCAAATATTTTGTCTAAATATGCTACATTGTAAATATTTGTTGTTAAGTTGTTCCTAAGCAATGGAAAATATACATAAAGCTGAGCAATCAGACCCTCTTCAACTGTTCAAGAGAAAACATTTTTAACAGAGCAACTACTTGAGAATGTGAGTTCCACTAGAATGAGGTCCTAATCCTGTCTGTCAAAATCTAGAACAGTGCCAGACAGATGAGGAGTCCATCTTTTGTTGACAGAATGCATGAACTCTTTACCTCCATCATGATGTAAAGGGTTATCTTAACAACACAATGCTTTGCCACATAATATGCTTTGTTTTTTAAATAAATGCTTCCTTCACTAGTCTATTTTAAATGTAGCACAAATGTGGTTATCTTCAAGGAAAACTGTCATGTAAAAAGTTAAGGTAACATTTACTGCTTTCCCAGCTTGCCGAGTTACTTTTCGTTAACGTTATTTTATTGTTTTGTATAATAATGAACTGGTCTTATATAACTATTCCCCAGATAGCAGTACCTACCTGTATTAATCGTCGGCATTTCTCAAGATTTTCCAACTTAATAATCTGATTTTTATCCAGAATCAAAGTATGAATATCAGCTTCACAGGGTAAGTTTGGACTTAATTTCTGTAGCCCCTGTCCTGACCAGTTTACCACTGATCCTTGAAAATAGAGAAATTGTTACAAAACACAAATACAATAACTGACCATAGGAATAGAATTACATTCACAAACTCTATAGTTAGAGTTAGAAAACACTGGAGCATAATAAATATCAAGATTTAAAACACTAAGGCAATTGAGTTCTAAATGACCACAGACTGAAATTGCTCACCTTCCCTCAGAAATATCATATTACACCTAGAAGTTTGTGATACTCTGCTCAAGTTTTTATGATCTAATATTTTGGAATTCTTCACAATGAAATGAGAACTATTGGGGGCCTGGGTGGTTCGGTCCTTGGGCTCAGGTCATAACCTCAGGGTGGTGGGATGGAGCCCCCCATCAGCTCCACCCTTAAGATTCTCTCCCTCTCCTCTCCTCCCCTACCCCTTCATACCCCATGGCCAGCACAGGTGAAGCACAGGCCCATGCACTCTCTCTCTCTCTCATTCAATAAATAATTAAATAAATAGGAACTATTACTTCCATATTTTGTGGCTAAGTAATGATTGTATTTTTCAAATGGAACTAACCTTTTGATAGAGATCAACCTGCTTACAACCTAACTACCAGTATATTCTAAAGTGCCCAAACTTTTTAAAAATCAAAGTATAGTTCAGTTAACTTACCTACAAAAAGGGAACAATACACCTAATTAATTAAATTGAGGTGGGGATGAAAAGAGAAACCATATAAACAAAGCAGCCCCATTCCTGGCATCCAGCACTCAAGTAATTTAGTTTCAGACATTCAAATCCTGGCTTCCCATTAACCACTGTGGTATCTTGAGCAGGTTATTGATCTCTTTGGGGCTCACTTTTCCACTCTGTAAGATGCGGGTGATAATACTACCTGCCTTACAACGTTAGTCTACAGAGAAAATGAGAGCATGCAAAAAAAAAGAAAAAGAAAAGAAAAAGAAAAGAAAAGGGCACTCAGTACATCGTCTGGCTCCTATAACAAGCGCTCTGAGGCTGTTCACTGCTATTATTGTTAAGTTCCCTTGGTGGACCCAAGAGGTGGAGTTCAAGAGAAGCAGATTATCAAAAAGGGGTGGGGCCGCAGAACCTGCCAATTTCAAATTTATACCCGGATTAAGATTACTGTGGGAAATAATTATGCGAGGTCGCTCTCCTGAAAGGTCTCAACGTGTTTTCACTGGCTACTGGATCCCAGCATTTGGGGGTGGTCGTGGGGAGTCCCTGGGAATTGGGTGAACGCTGTGTGCTGTCCGAAGGAAAAGTCCACGGGGTCGACAGACCTCATGGAACCTCCGCCCCCCGCCCTCCCCGCCCCCCCGCCCCCCCGCCCGAATCGCGGCCCCCGATAACGACCCCGACCCAAGCCGCGGGGAGGCCTCGACCCGCCGCCCGACCCCCGACCCAGAAGGCAGCTGCGGAGCCTCGGGGCTGTAACCAAAACAAAGGAGCTCGGCTCCTGCCAGGCGACTCCGGGCCACGGAAGCCCGCACACGCTGGGGAGCGACCGAACCGACCCCAGGTCCTGGTCCCAGAACCAGGGGTGGGGAACTGGGGCTCCCGGTCCCCCGAGCTCTTATCACGGCCACCGAACACTTCCAAAAAAGGGGTTAACGTCGGTCTCGGGAGCTAGGTTTGAAAGACGATTTCCTGAAGGTGACGGGGAGCCGAGAGGAGAAGGGAAAGGCGTAAAGCCAAAGAGGGAGCTCCGGCAATTTCCCCTCGGGGACCCAGAATTCAAAGTAAACACCCAGGAAAGGTCACCGCAGCCCGAAACCCACCACCCGGGCAGCCTCAGAAGCGCGGGCGCCAAGCGCCCGGCCGCGCAAAGGGCCCTGGGAATGTAGTCCCCAGCCCGGCCCTCGCCGCAAAGCCGCCGAGCGAGGCAGCAGCCGGGAACTACAACTCCCAGAGGGGAGCGCGGCCCCGCGACGCCCACAGCCCCGCATCAAAGGAGCTGGTACAGAGCTGCATCCCTAAACCCAGGTTTCTTCTCTCCGCCAGGTAACTATTTAATTTAGTTCCACGGAGTAAACCTTAGGACTCAAGGGTTCGGGGCGGGGGGAAGGGACCGCCTTACCTTCTCCAGGGGGCAAAGCCGCGTCGACGCGCGCCACCGCCATACTTCCCGCTTGCTAATAATACCAAGCAACCGTCCTCCCGCGGCTCGGAGCTTGGAGTCAGGAGGACGGAGCCGGAAACTACAGCTCCCAGGGTGCACCGCGACCAGACGGCCCGGTCGGCTGCCTGCGTCTAACGATGTAAAACTCGGGTTAGACTGAGCCGCGGTGGGATTAGGAACCCGGGTCAGCCCCCTTACCGGACACGTAAGCAAGCTACTGAGAGAGGATCGTTTTGCTGCCTTTAACAGGTGTCTGCGAAATTTGACACTTTTACCATTGAGATCATCATAAGGTCTCAGATCGAAGTGGAGCGCTCACTGCTAGAAGTCCCTGGGGTGGCCGCCCCTTTTTTTGGACAATTCTGAATAAGTTGAAAGTGTCTTACTCTGCTAGAGGAATGACTTGCGTAATCGTGTCGAGATAGCAAACGGATACATCTCATTTGAAAATTTAAAGCATTCTGGGATAGAAGGTTTCGCACAGTATTTTTAATTGGTTCTTGAATAACATAACTTGGGACCTAAGGGTGTTTTTTAAGAAGTATGAACCTAGAATTTTTGCAACGAGTACCCAAAAGAATTTTACAATGTAGTCACCAAACTCAAGAATTACACAGCCTGACTCAAAGGGAGGAGGCTCACACTTTTGCTGTAACTATGACCTACTAACTAGTATGATTGTATCTATTAACACAAGATCTCAGCGAATGGAGAAAGAAATGGAAACAATAATCTTCAGAGACTTGAAGGAAGTGAAACTGAACTAGCGCTTAAAAGATGGGTAGACTCTAAGGAGTTCAGAGGTAGATAAAGACATTAGCATAGGCTGCAAGTGGGGGCAGGTGGTAATGAAGCTGTTCTCACGGGAAGTGAGAAACCAACCTAATAGATGTACAAAGGGAACTTCCAGTTTCTATTACACATGCCTCCATTCCCTCTTGCAGCCTTTACTCGAACTCCCCACTTTCTGAAACAGCAATGTACAAAATCTCTGATCATTTCTGTTTGGGAAAATAACAGTAACTCACACTTTGGGATTCCCAGGCCCTTGGTCCTGTGAGCCTTCCTTCCTGGGTTCTCCTCTGATCTCAGGAACTACACCTACCCCTTTGTCTTTTTTTTTTTTTAAATTTCAAGTGTTTAAATTTCAATTAGTTAACATATATGGCAAAATGAGTTTCAGGTTAGGGGCACCAGGGTGACTCAGTTAATAGAGGGTCTGATTCTTGATTTTGGTTCAGGTGATGATCTTGGTGTCATAGGATGGTGGGAATCCAAGTTGGGCTTCATGCTCAGCGGGGAGTCTGCTGCTCTCCTTCCCTCTGCTCTTCCCCTCCAAGTAAATAAATTTTTAAAAAACTGAGTTTCAGGTGTAGAATTTAGTGATTCATCACTTACATAGAACACCCAGTGCTCATCACAAGTGCCCACCTTAATACCCATCACCTACTTAATCCATCTCCCTGCCCACCTTCCCTCTATCAAGACTCAGTTTGTTCTCCATAGTTAAGGGTCTCTTATGATTTGCCTCTCTTTTTATCCCTTTCCCCTATGTTCATCTGTTTTGTTTCTTAAATTCCACATGAGTGAAATCATATGGTATTTGTCTTCCTCTCTCACCCACCTTAACTCTTTTACTCTATTTCTCACTGTTGTATTCTGAAGACAAATTTCCTAGTTCTGAAGAGGTAATTAAGACTAGGAATCTTAAAAAAAAAAAAGACTAGGAATCTTTCTCATCTAACCAAGAGACTCCTTATTTAGAAAGCACAATCTTAGTATAAAGGTATAAGAACAAAGCAAGTTTTAGTACTACCTCCTACTTTTGTTCTCTGGAATATCTGGTGAGGATTGAGGGGAGTCTCTATCTCAGGGAGACAGAAAGGGTTTACAGTTCTCTCCAATTTGGCAGGATAATGACCTGGGAGAGGGATCCTGGGCCAGAGGGTCCCTGAGGAGCACAGGTTCCTAAAAGTGTATAGCAATAGCAGAATTAGAATTTTGTCTGGTTCATCTGACCCAGAATGCAGAGGAAAGTACTCCTTTTACAAAGTCAATGAAGCATAGTTATGGATCCATAAAACAGTGGCCAGATGTTTCTGGGCAGTCAGTCCCACATCCTAAGTGAACCAGCAACCCTTTAAAATCACAGGGCAGGGCAGCCCGGGTGGCTCAGCGGTTTAGCACCGCCTTCAGCCTACGGCCTGATCCTGGACACCTGGGATGGAGTCCCAGGTTGAGCTCCCTGCATGGAGCCTGCTTCTCCCTCTGCCTATGTCTCTGCCTCTCTGTGTCTCTCGTGAATAAATAAATAAAATCTTAAAAAAACACACACACACACACACAATAAAATCACAGGGCAGAAACTCTTTTGTGCTTCAGATACAGCTTGTACAACTAAAATCAAATTGCTACACTTTAAATTGTCTCACCTTGTAGATCTTTTAAACCTGCAAGCTCAAATCAAATAGGAGGATTCTACTAAGCAATACTATGAACCTCTCAACGAAGTAGCATTGTTTTTTGGTCAAGTCTAGGCTCCATAACACTTTCCTTCCTATCATCACAGTGTTCCTGATCTCTGCAATAGCTAAAAGCCCTGACTCATGTCCTGCATCTCTAATGCATCTGCCAACTGCTACAGGGGTGACTAAAACACCTATATCATGTTAATCCCTTCCTCAACTACTTCCCTTTTGAAACTCAACTTTCAATCTGACCTCACCCTACCTCTCACCATTCATTCCACTAATTTTCATTTGGTGTCCTTGAGTGACAGATTGACAAAATGAAACTTGTGTTTTAGAAGGTTAAACTGCTCATATAACAATGATGAACTGAATAGTAGCACAGTGGCAGGAAGGAGACTGTTTTAACAGTGGAGGATAACCTTTAAGAGGGCAGTTTCAGGAGAGCATTATATACAAGTTTAGATAACACAGAGAGATAGACAGGAAGCTAGAACAATGTTTGTGGATAGTACATCTTGACAAAACAAAGGTTTTTTTTTTTTTTTTTAAAGATTTTATTTATTTATTCATGAAAGACACACACAGAGAGAGAGGCAGAGAGAGAAGCAGGCACCATGCAGAGAGCCTGATGTGGGACTCGATCCCAGGACTCCAGGATCACGCCCTGGGCCGAAGGCAGATGCTCAACCACTGAGCCACCCAGGTGTCCCCAAAGGAGGTTTTCTAATTAGTATGAGAGCTTATATTTCAAAAAAATAAATATAATAATTTCGAAATTTTAAAGCTTCAAAACTGCACAGCTCTTAACGATGCAGACTGGCCTGGTCTGAGGACCCAAAGGGGGTCCCACAGGACCAGCCAACAGGATCCTTGGTGTTGTGCAGGAAAGAAGAAAACACAAGCTGAAAGTGAGAGCAGAGTTTATTGAAGATATATAGAGAGAAGATTACAGATGGAGCATCTAGGAGACCCAGCAAGGAAAAGGAAAATGAATCTCCTCTTTGCTTGAGGTCTGCAGTTTTTTCTGAGGACGGTGGTCAGGTGTACCTGTCCTGTCAGGCACCTAGGTAGTAGTCAAAACAAGAGCAAGTATTCAAGTGTCTCCAGAAGCCATTTATGCCCTGGAGCCGGGGTCTTGCTGTCAAGGTGTCTGGAGTACCTGGTCTTAGAAAACATCATGATGACGTCACCTAGTCACTCCTTAGATGTTATCTATTGTCCTGGAAGACTCCAAAGAAATCACTAACTCCTTGACATTTACAAGGAGGACATACAGTATTGGTACTTTAAGCCATGTGTATGGCAGGGATCCAGGTCTTAGCAAGAATATAAGCAGGAAAAGGAGCAAAAAACTAGTTTTTTCATGGGGTCCCTTTAGTTTCTATCTCAATATAAAGAATTTTGGGGAAATTTTGATACTGTAAGGATTTTGAAAATGATTTTTTTACAGTAAAAAAATATTTATGTGAAGTTTAGGTGCATAAAATAAAATGTTTTCTTCTTTGCTCACTATTCATTGGGAGACTCTTATAGTCTTGCTTTCTTATATGTGACCTATGTAAGTCTTTCTCTTCCATGTGACATGGAAAGACTGCCTTCCCATAGATATGATGATATATCTATTCATGGGTTATCTAGAAATCCTAAATGACTACTAACTTTCCTCATTATTATTATTACTTAATAGCTGTCACACGATAACAAAACCCAAATGCGCAAAAAGCTGTACACTAATATTTTCGTGTGTTTTTTCTGTCCACTTGTCTGGAAGAAAGGCTGAAATTCTTTCAGATTACTGAAGAGGTCTGTAAATTAAAAAAAAAAAAGTTAGAACCAAAGTTTAAAAATTTCAGTAAGAAAATTCTACAATAATATTATTTGGACAGAGAAGCTGATTGCTCTGCATTATTATTATAAAAAGATTCCATTTGTGCTTCTGTCCAGAGATTAGGGCTGAATAAATAGGAAGCTCTTCCAGAGAGAGGAAACAGGTTAGGGAACCAGTGAATGATTATCTCCACCATGCCCACTGGATGTAAACTGCTAGCTCACCATTCTCTAAAGCAATTAAGATTTCTTTGGTAGACAGAATAGTCTTAAAGCATCAGTTATAAATAAATGGATAAATTAATTCTAAATAAACGTAAGCACCAAAATAATGAATATAAATGAGCTGGCCATCTCAATGATACACTAAAATTTTTATTTTTTTCCCCAGGTAATACATCAGCTAATATCTGAGAAAATAAGGTGGAAGTACAAATAAATTTCAAGAATAAAGCCACTCTGAGATATTTTTCAGGTACCTTTACCTAATTAACTGTGAAGAAGTTGTCTTTTGTATAAAAGAGTAATACAGGAATCCTTGACACATTTTTGTTTTATTGATCATGTTTTTTGAAGTGTTTCCAAAAGGCAGTGAAACCTATAACCTATAAAAGTGATTCATCATATTCTCAATTGAAAATTAAATGACTGTGTAAATAAAAAGTTCTAACTTTCATTTGAGAGAGAGAGCATGAGCATGTAGAAGGATGGGGGAGCATTTGATAATGTTTTATTCTGATTTTTTTTTTTCAGATTGATCGATTGATTGATTTGAGACAGAGAGAGAGAGAGAAAGAGAACACAAGCTGGGAAAGGTGCAGAGCTCCTCCCTGCTGAGCATGGAGCTGGGTGGATGCAGGGCTCAATCTCATGACCCTGAGATCCTAACATGAGCCAAAACCAAGAGTGAGATGCTCAACCAACTGAGTCACCCAGGCGCCCCAATAGTGATTTTTTTTTTAAGCTCAGAGTAAAGATTGAAATTTTTCTAAATGGAAAGAACTCCTCTGACCACTACTACGGAACGCTAACAAGGCTTTAAAATTCATTTTTGCTAATTTACTAATTTTGATCATTTAATTATGCTTAATGAATTCAACCTAACAGTATAAGACAACACAGCACTTACATGCAAAACTTATTCAAAAGTAAAGCCATTTTGACAAAAAAAATAGCATTATTAGATTTACAAGTTAAAAAGATTTCCATTCTCACACAAATCTGCAGTGATTATATTTTTGATCTCAAACTACATTTTTAGCAGTATTGAAAGACCTCCATGGGATCCCTGGGTGGCGCAGGGGGTTGGCGCCTGCCTTTGGCCCAGGGCGCGATCCTGGAGACCCGGGATCGAATCCCACATCGGGCTTCCGGTGCATGGAACCTGCTTCTTCCTCTGCCTGTGTCTCTGCCTCTCTCTCTCTCTCTCTCTCTGTGACTATCATAAATAAAAAAAAAAAAAAGAAAGACCTCCATGAATATACAAAGGAAATTTCTATATTTTAAGACCCATTTAACTGTGCAATTGAGCTTTAACTTAACTTTCAATTGTTAGTAATTACTAATCATTCTAAAAGGAAAATAACAAAAGAAGTATCTATTTCTGTAATTGCATTACAAAAGATTGACCTGCTCATTATATGCCCTGCAATTGATATTAATATTTACCAGTTTTTATCTGAGTGAAAATAGATTTTCCAATGTAAATCTCCTTACAGATTAGGATTACAAACATTGACTTGAATGGTAATTGATTTTAATGGTAAGGAATAACTTTGATCCCTAATTAAGAGAAATGTCTATCCTCCACCTCTCCCCAAAAGAATTTCATTTTTCTCTTTAGACCTGTTTTACAAAAACTCATACTCAATACTGTGTTATTTTAAACCTCATCAATGAAAATGTGAAAAATTTTTTCTCGTTTTATAAATGCCTATATAATGTCCTCAATCTTGCTTGTTAGCCCACAAAGCCTAAAATATTTACTATTTGCAGATCACCGTTTTAGATGAAGTAAAATCTGAGTAGGAATTTAGCCAATGGAAGGAAGGAAAGATTTCCAGCCAAAGAAAGACAGCTTGAATTCATGAATGAGAACAGAATATGAGACAAAATAAGCAGTTATTATATATATAACAAACGCCATGCTTTGTTCCTCTTGCACTTTTGAGCCAATTGGTAATACCAGTTTCTTCCAGAAGATGGCTCCCTTTAAATATCTTCCAACATTTTATTATGAAAATTTTCCAACATCTAGAAAATTTGAAAGAATTCTGTGAGCACTCGTAAACTCACTACTTCAATTCTTTTATCATTTTATTATGTTTGCTTTATCACACATCTATCCATTTATGTATCCCTTCATCCATCTTGTTTTTTTGAAGTTTCAGTACATGTCCCCTATTAAGCCAATATTTCATTAACTAGTAACATGTTTTTAGTTTCCTTTTATTTTATTTTTAAAAATTTATTTTCTTATTCATGAGAGAGAGAGAGAGAGGCAGAGGCAAAGGCAGAGAGAGAAGCAGGCTCCATGCAGGGAGCCCGATGTGGGACTCAATCCCCAAATGTGGGATCATGCCCTGAGCTGAAGGCAGATGCTCAACCACTGAGCCACCCAGGTGTCCCAGTTTCCTTTCTTTTAAAGTAGAATTTACATACAACGAAATTATAATTGTTTGAAACTTTTTATCAGAGAAAAATATTTAAAAGAATACATAACAACCTAGAGACTATTTTAATGAACACTCCTACCTATTACTAGCTTCAACTCCTATCCAGTCCAGGTCATTTTTTTATCCATGCCCTTACCCACTGGCTGCTCTCTCATATTAAATTGAATCCCCCCGCATCAGGCTCCTGGCATGAAGCCTGCTTCTCCCTTCTCCCTCTGTGTCTCTGCCCAGCCCCCACCCCACCCCCGTGTCTATCATGAATATATAAATTCAAAAATCTTTAAAACAAAAAAAAAAAGACAAATTCCAACCATCACGCTATTTCTCTTTTCCATCATGCTATTTCATCTGTAAATATTTAGTATATATCTAGAAATATAAGAACACTTTTTAAAATTAAACATGACCACAATGCAATTAGAACACCGAAAGGAGGGGATCCCTGGGTGGCTCAGTGGTTTAGCGCCTGCCTTCAGCTCAGGGCATGACCCTGGAGTCCGGGATCGAGTCCCACATCGGGATCCCTGCATGGAGCCTGCTTCTCCCTCTGCCTGTGTCTCTGCCTCTCTTTCTCTCTCTCTGTGTCTCTCTCACAAATAAATAAAATCTTAAAAAAAAAAAAAGAACACTGAAAGGATTAACAATATATCCTAGTATCATCAAAAATCCAGTCAGTATTCAAATTACCCCTGTGGTCTGTCCAGTATGTTTGTTCAAATCAGGCCTCAAATAAGACCCATATGTTGCAATTGGTTGAGGAAGTTCTTAAATTTCTTTTTATCCATAGGTAGAGCCACTTTCAAGTTGTGGAACCAATGCAGTTGCACAGGCCTGATGCCCAGAACACTTAGGGTTTAATGCTCTGCACTTGCTGTCTTGGAAAGCGATCATCGTTTTGTGTTCTGTAAGTGAAGTACAATGTGGACAATAGGGCATATGCCTGGGCCTTGGAGCTTCAGCTCACAGGCAGGTCCCCTTCCGGCTGCCACACTTTCTAGTGAGTGTTCAGAGAGTGGCTGGTTCTGCAGTTTGCTAACACTAGCTCCTGCACTACACTCACCGAAGCTAGGGGCACTGCCATGCACCCCGCAAGCAGCTGGATGCCCACCCCATCCAGGACCCATGTACATAACACATCCCACAGGATTGCCTATTCCATATGGGTTAGGCCAGGAGTACAGTGTAAGAAGAAGGCCACAGCCTTCTCCCACCCTCTGTGGGGTGTAACATATTGGTCTAGAACCTCATAGTAGGAGCAACCCAAAAGCTGGCCGGGCCCCGTGTGTTCCAATACATGCATCAAGTGACAGGGCGGGTCCCTGGGCACCTGAGGGGCTGCAAGGCCCTAGCAAATGTCCTTGCCTGAGGGAGATGACGTTAAATAGCGAATGAAAAAACACCATGAGAGGTCAAGAGATAGATTACTGAAGAAATGAAATAGCTTAGTTATTTTATACCTTTATCCTGATATTTGAAAAAGGGGACCCCTCTTTCATTTTACACTGGAAATTATTTGTGCAGGTAGTCCTATCCATAGGCTCTAATCTCCTTTCAATTCACAGATGCCAACTGCATCCATGTGGAATTGTTTCACATGTTCCTGTCCCCTGTATATCATATAATCAGTAGATATGAATACTTGATTAGATTTAGATTTTAAAGAATACTCGTAACTTATTTTAATGATGCTTCATAATTTTATTTTTTAAAGTAATCTCTACACCCAATGTGGTGCTTGAACTCATGACCCCAAGATCCAGAGTCACATGCTCGCTCTATCAACTGAGCAGCCAGGCATTCCTTAATGCTTCATAATTTTAAAGAAAGCTTCATATTTTTTTAAAGATTTTTATTATTTGAGAGAGACACATCATGTGAGAGAGAGCAAGGGAAGCTGCAGAGGGAGAAGCAGGCTCCCTGCTGAGCAGGGACCCTGACATGGGGCTCGATCCCAAGACCCTGGTCAGGATTATGACCTGAGCTGAAGGCAGTTAACTGACTGAGCCACCTGGGTGCCCCAACTTCATACTTTTTAATGCCGTATAGTTTTGTTGTTGTTTTTTAAGATTTTATTTATATGACAGAGAGTGTGCATGCACAGTAGCACAAGCAGGGGGAGATTCAGGCAGAGGGAGAGGCTGGGTCCCCACTGAGCAGAGAGCCTGATGTGGTGCTCAATCCCAGGACCCTGGGATCATGACCTGAGCCCCAGTTAGCTGCCTAACTGACTGAGCCACCCAGGTGCTCCAATGCTATATAGTTTTTAAACCAGTTACTTTCTAGTTATTAGGCATTCCTTTCAAAGCCTTCCCTGAAGTCAATGCCTGAGAGTCTTGGGACTGACCAGCCTTCCAGGAACTATGGTAGTAGGTTCTAAAAAAGGTATGTCCCTCCCACACCTGTAAAGAGAACTCTATGGGAAGAAACATTAAAAATGGAATGTAAAGTCATTCCAAAGGCATTCATGTTTATGTTCCTGTCGTCTTACTAGAACTTTATGTGGCTTTTAGCATTGTCAAGTCTCTTCCATAGGCTTCTCTGAAGTGACTATCATGGATCTCTATTTCCTTTGACCTCATCTGCCCAGGCTTCTTCAGATAATTCTCTCTCCAGTCCCTTATCCCTTAAATATTGGTATTCCTGGATTCTTTTGCACGAACTCATTCTAGTTGCTCTTTCTAGAGTTGGTAGACACAGAGATGCAATATCCATATCCCTCTTCAAGCAAAGGCTTGCTGCCGAACAGTGAACATTGATCATTGTCACTGGCATCCTCAACTCGCAGTAGGGTCTGGCTTAGCTACTGAGAACCACTTTACTTGGCTCATGATCTCTCTGGGGGCAACACACATCCAGGGACAAGGTGGGGGTATAAACAGGGTTGATTATTTGGCCCAACATGGAATGCTCTGACAGGCAATAACTGTTCAAGAGCTCCTGCTGGGATTGACTGAGGTTTAGTTAGACCAGTAATTTATTTAAACTGCTGCTTCATATTGCTTTCTCCCCTCTCCTTTCACAGGACTTGATCCCTAATGAACATCTTGCATGCTAAACGCAGTCTCAGGAAGCGCTTCCATAGAAGCCAGCCTGTAACACTAGGTGATGTTATCACACATATTCTATCACCTATATGTCCATTACTCTTAAAATATATCCTTTTCCGAATACTCTTTTGAACTTGTTTAACGTCCTAAAACACAGCTCCACCTTAACATGCTATAGGCACCTTGAGCTCCAACTTTGCAAAATTGACCCTTTGCCTCACAAACATGCTTTCTCCTATCTGACCTTTGGATAAATGATATAATTATTCACTAAGTTCCCATCTTCACAATTTCCTAGGGGATCCCTGGGTGACTCAGCAGTTTGGCGCCTGCCTTTGGTCCAGGGTGCGATCCTGGAGTCCCAGGATCGAGTCCCACGTCGGGCTCCTGGCATGGAGCCTGCTTCTCCCTCTGCCTGTGTCTCTGCCTCTTTCTATGTCTGTCATAAATAAATAAATAAATCTTTAAAAAAATTTTCCTTACCTTCTCTATTAATTATCTGTTGCTATGTCGACAAAGTATTCCTGAACATAGTCTAAAAAAAAAAAAAAGAATTTATTGGAGAGACAGAGAGTGCACGTGCATAAGCACAGCAGGGGGGAATGGCAGAGGGAGAGGTGGAAGCAGGCTCCCTGATTCAGAACTTGATCCCAGGACCTTGGTATATGACCTGGGCAGAAGGCAGATACTTAACTGAGCCAATCAGGTGCCCCTAAACATAGCAGTTTATTTTTTTTCTATTTTTTTTTTATTTATTTATGATAGAGAGAGAGAGAGAGAGAGAGAGAGAGAGAGAGAGGCAGAGACACAAGCAGAGGGAGAAGCAGGCTCCATGCACCGGGAGCCCGACGTGGGATTCAATCCCGGGTCTCCAGGATCACGCCCTGGGCCAAAGGCAGGCGCCAAACCGCTGCGCCACCCAGGGATCCCAACGTAGCAGTTTAAACCAACAAACATATATGATCTCATAGTTTCTCATATAGAATTCCAGAGGGTTTATCTGAGTGGAAACAGAAGAGAGAGGAACATGAGGAACATGTTCTGCCCCTGAGCTTTCAGACTCTGGAGCAAGGATACTTGATTTCAACCCAGTGATATTTTAGACTTCTAGCCTGCAGAAACTAAAGAATACATTTCTGAACTTTTAAGGTACCAAGTTTGCGGTAATTTGTTACAGTGACCACAGGAAACTAATATAGCAAGTAAGTATAGTGAAAGGTGAAGAGGCAACGAACAGCAGAATGCTCTGTTCTCAGGAGATACAAGAGGCTGAGAAGGCCAATGTTGGTTCAGTATTGCTCCATAAAAAAAAAAAAATAAATAAAATGAAGGACAGCTGAGCCTTTTGCCTATAAAAGAGAATGTCAACAGATGCCTGAGCAGCTCAGCTGGTTAAACAGCCAACTCTTGGTCTAAGATCAGATCAGATTTTGATCTCAGGGTTGTGAGTTCAAACCCCGCATCAGGCTCCAAAAAAATAAATAATAGAGAGAGAGAGAGAGAGAGAGAGAGAGAGAAGGATAAAGTCACCAGAAATTTATAGATGGTGTTGGAAGCCGTTTTATGACAGTATATAAAATACCTTTAGAGGCTTCTGTATATTTTCTTCTTATTCTAAGAGTGTTTGAGCATAATTTAAGGTGTGATATATACAATGTGTTACAAAGAACCCTAAGATGCCAGCTCAAGAATGCCCTCCAAGAAAGAGTAAAAGCCCTAAAATCCCTAAGGTCTAGTTTTCTGCTTTTCCTCCACAGAGCTACTCAGGCCAAACTTAATTTTGAAGACCAGTAAAATAAAATCTTCCTAAAATGCTTGGGAAGGTACTATAAATCCTGGGGTTCTGTGGACCAAATTCCTGCTTATAAATCTTGGCCCCATCCTCTACGCATTCCAGCTGGGCCTTATTGCCTATAGAAGCCAGGTCGTTTTCTTCTCTCTCTCTTTTTTTTTTTTTTTTTTCCAAATGATCAAACATCTGTTTAATCAGGAGTGATTTAACACAAAGAGAGCAAATAATAATAATAATAATAATAATAAACAAAGAGAGCTGTATGAATGTCATAGCTAAGTTCATCAAGCCATGGGAGCCGGAGGCGTCCATCTGCCCATAGTCTATTTAAACAACGTATTCCAAGTAACCAGGTATTCTGAAAAACTGGTAAGAGTTGGTTGGAATGTCAAATTCCTCCCCTTTGCTTTTTGATTCCACGCTGATCTCTATTAACTCATTCTTATTTTTTAAGATCTTATTTATAAGTAATCTCTATGCCCAAGGTGGGGCTCGAACTCACACTCCCAAGATCAAGAGTCACTCGCTCCACTGACTGAGCAGCCAGGTGCCCCTCTATGAGCTCACTCTTGAGACTGGTTCCAGCATAACCGTGCAGCTTTCTTAACATCAGCCAGCCACCTCGTTGGACTTCACAGATCTTTCCACCTACCACTTACCGATGCTTTTTAGAGGGAGCAGCTTACACAGGCAGCTTCAATCATTGCATTTTTGTTTCCTAGTCAAACCCTGCAACACGCAATTCAAGGACTGCCTCCTTCCATCACCCCCCAACATGCTCGTTTCTAGCGTCACGGGGGGGTTCAAGCTATCGAGGCACTGCCCCCCCCGCCCCCCGTGGGCTTGGCCAGGGCTCCCTTTCCCAAGCCTCCGGGCAAGGGCTTTGCCCTTCACCGTCCCACCACCGGCCCCGGGCTGCAGTGGGCGGAAGGTGGCGCCTAGCTCTTCCCAGACAGGCGGGCGGCGTCACTTCGCAGGGCCTTGGCGCGTACTCACTGGGGATTTTGCAAACTCTACACAAGTGCGTGTGAACGCTCCAGCATGATTCCTAGCGCAGAAAGAGAACTCCATGAGCGCCAATCAGTGCAAGGCGTGGGAGCCACTTCAGACGGCATCACTATTTTCCAAAGCTGAAACCGTTAAAATTTGATTTTGTTGGTGAAGTTGGCCGGGCAGCGCGAAGGCTGTGCGACCTGAAGTCTCACCTGTGGGTACTGGCTGTCGGTCACCGGACTGTGCAGGTCCCACTCGGCGCGGCAGGACCACGCTCAGGACCCCCGACCGCAGGAGACGCCGCCGCGGAGAGACCGACCGCTCGCCCCGCGCCCCGCGAGCCGGCCCCGCCCCCAGCGGAAGGAGGCGGCTGTGGCTGACGTCATCGCCGAGCGCCGGGGTTACGGAAGGGACTCGGGGAGGGGCTCGGCCCGCCGGCTTATAAGGCTTCTTCCCATGATGCTCTCCTTCTCTTCGCCGTCTCGCCGTCTTCCCGGCCGCCGCAGCCATGAAGTGAGCAAGACCCCGGGTCGCAATCCGCTTCCATCCTCGGGCCGAGCCGCCTTCGCACGTCCAGGGCTCGGCCGCCCCTTGCCGCCGACACCCCCCCTAACGGGCTCTCTTGGCTTTTTGTTACAGGGTCGAGCTGTGCAGTTTCAGTGGGTACAAGATTTACCCCGGACATGGCAGGCGCTACGCCAGGACCGACGGGAAGGTGAAGGGCAGCTTGCGCTCCTAGGAGGGGAGCGGCCCGGTTGGGTCTAAGCGTGTGCACGTCCCCCCTCGCTCCCGGCCCCTGAGGCGCTTGTGTCGGGCGCCGCGGGTGCAGTGGCTCTTAGGATCGGAAGCCTCAGAGTGAGCCGTTTTCCGAGGCTGGACGTAGTGTGAGCGAGGTCGGAGGTTAGGAGTTCGGGAGCTCCGGTGGCCCGGGAAACGGACGGCCCAAGCACCTGGCTGTGCTGGGGGCACCAGGCCTCTTGGGACCCGGTAGGGACCGGGCTGGCTGCCCCCCGGGATGCCCCGCCCTTCCCTGCCCCGGGAGCTCCGGTTCACCGGCTTCCGTGTCGGGCAGGACGGATGTCCCAAGGCCTCGGGGTGCCACCCGCTCCTGCCGGCCGTGACCCGCACACGGCCTTTTGGTCTCTGGGCCAGGGAGGCGGTAGAAGTGAGAGTCTGGAGGGTTCCAAGCTGAGCTGACCGCCTTGGACTTGTTCCTGCAGGTCTTCCAGTTTCTTAACGCAAAATGCGAGTCGGCCTTCCTTTCCAAGAGGAACCCTCGGCAGATCAACTGGACTGTCCTCTACAGAAGAAAGCACAAAAAGGGACAGTCGGTAAGTTAACTGCAGTCTGGTCTGGGGGGGGGGGGGCTCTTAAATTTAAACTGAGCGTCAGGTGCCGCCCTGTGAAATTGTAGTAAAGGAGACAGGACGGGAGAGTGCTCTTAGGCTGTAAAGCATCAGTGAAGCGAAGACGGCTGGTACGCTCGTCTCCTTCTACATCAGGCTCACGGGAACGTCGAATTGAAATTTAGAAGCATCCCCTTGCCAAAGTAGGTAAATCCTATTAAGTGCACATCTGTAGAAGTAATTCAGAGGTTCCAGTGGGTGGAAGTTAAGTAGTATGGTAATTTGGTTTTGAAGGTTTACAGGATTAGTTCTAAGGGCTGTCACTGGAATCTTCAGCATATTGGTTTGTTCTCAAGATTGAGTGTTTTTTGAAGCGCTCTTTGACCTTGATGGAGACTTTTGAGGAAAGGTTTTTGTGCCCTGGCAGTAGGATCAGTGTCCAGGAGGCTCAGAATATTTTAGTGAACACCTTCTGGGTGAAAGACACCAGTAGGTATTGTGGGAGCTCAGAGGAAGGAGAAATTTATTTCTAACTTAGATTTGACACACCCATTAGGATAGTCCGTATCCAGAAAAGGGAAGATTACCAATGTTGCGGAAGGTGTGGGGAAATCAGAACTTTGGTGCATTGCTGAATGTGAGATGGTACAGGCACTGGAAATGGTCTCACAGTTTCTCAAAAAGCTAAATGGAACTATATCCAGCAACTCTACTTAATAGGAGTATACCCAAGGAAACTAAGCAGGAACCTAACACATAACTTTTCCTTTTCTTTTTTTTTTCTTTTTTCTTTTTCTTGTTATGATTTTGACAGCACAGGCAGCAGGAGAGGGAGAAGCAGGCTCCCCATTGATCAGGGAGCCCAATGTGGGACTCTGGGGCTCAGGGCTCCTGGGATCATGACCTGAGCCAAAGGCAGATGCTTAGCTGACTGAACCACCCAGGTGCCCCAAGACAGATAACTAATATACCAGTGTTCATAGCACTGGTTATTCACAATAGCCAAAATATGGAAACCGCCCAAATGGCCTATCCATGGGTGAACGGATAACAAAACATTACACACACAATGGAATACTATTCAGCCTTAAAAAGCTGGTAACTAGCCAATATAATAAACCTGGAAGACATACTAAGTGAAATAAGCCAGACACAGAAGTACAAATATTGTTTAAGTTCACCTTTATGGGGTGCATATAGTGACAAATTCATAAAGGCAAAGTAGAGATTACTAGAGGCTGGGCAGGGGAAGCAATGGGGCATTTGGAATGATGAAAAAATTAGAGATGGACAGTGCTGGTGGTTGCACACAACATTGTGAATGTACTTAATGCAGTTAAAAATGCCTTTTTTTTTTTTTTAAAAGGATTTTATTTATTCATGATAGACATAGAGAGAGAGGCA